CTTCAAATGGTAACAGAAAATCAATGCTGTCCGCAAATCGTAGTTTCCAGGCACAAAATTCGACATGTTCAACGCTATTACAAACTATGCTGTTGTATGAAACTTGTATTGTTGTGAGTTGAAAATCTTTGTCAGAGATGTCAACAAGGAAATGGCGCCAATGACGCGGTTTGACGGTAACTACATTGACAGCTAGGGCCATCTATGGGCAAATTCCGGTTTCATATTTACAGACCTAGTATTGTATCGATTGAATGCGTCATCGTTGATATGCATTGGGCGCATTCAGTAGAAAAAGCGCTCAGTGAGCAATCAACGATTATTGGTTCTTACTATTACATCCCTAAATCTAGACCAATTACATTGACAAATTACTCAACTGTTGTGCAACTGTTGAGTCTGCTGAATGCAGCCATTGACCGCGTTCAGTAGAACAAGTGATCAGTAAGCGCTCAGGGAGCTCTTGTATATGATTTGGCATATTCTTTTAGATCTCCAACTATACTCCAATCAGATGTAAGAGCTCACTGAGCGCTTACTGATCACTTGTTCTACTGAACGCGGCCATTGCTAATGTTAAGATTATCTAATAGAAAGTTACTATTTAATATGTGTATCAAGTGCACGATGTAAATTAAGCCATTACTGCTTAAGTTTTTCTGTGTGGCACGGCCCTTACACGACAAAATCTATAAAAAGGAAGGGGATAGCGTTGGTACCAGCAAGAACCCCTAGGTAACTCAAATTAAATTTCTATGCATTAGTAGTGATATATGTTGATAAGGGCCAGCGCACGAACATTGCCGTAGCTCCTTACGTCACCTTAGGCTGCGTTCAGATTCCTCACCCGGGTGTATTCTATTACTAGAAGTGCTATAGTATATGTATCATATACTATAGTGTTTCTAGTAATAGAGTGCACCTGGATGAGGAATCTGAACGCACCCTTACATGGCAATCTTACGTTACATGAGACGTAAGCTGAACATACGGCAACACACAAAAATTTTACGTTACGTTACGTTACGAAGGAACATTGAGGTTCTGTGACAAAGGTAATTAAATCAGATTATTGAACAATAAGTAAAGAAACAATAATAATTTATCTTTACAAACATAATTAGAAATGTCTATGTTGAGCACATATTAATTTTATTAAATTGTTAAATGTATCTGTATAAAATTATAAACATTGCGTTATAACCTTTTCCCAACACTATGTATAGAATATGTTTGACATATAAATATTGAAATAAAATTTTAGGTTCTCAAGTTAACAAATATGAAAACATCAAAGTCTATGAAGTTAAAATGTTTATTGTTATCATTACTCTTAATTTATTATATGAGACTAAAACGGAGAAAAACACATAAAAGATGGCAAAATAGAAGATGGCTCGTGAGACCAATTAATCAACAGAGGAAACAGCAAGGAGAATATGAAGATCTGTTTCAAGAATTAAAAACTGATGAAGACATGTTTGTCAAATATGCCATGAATGTTCAACATTTTAACAAGTTATCAACCATGCTAAGACCTTATTTGTTAAAAAAAATTAAGAAAGCTTTATCTCCGGAACACGAAGGTTAATAATAACATTAAGATAAATATAGTTTATTAGTAAAAAATTGTTTAATGTAACTACTTCTTAAATTTTTAGTTATGTTTAGAAAGGGAGCGGTGCACTTGGACACGGTGCATTTGGACACAGCCAATCATAGCACCGTGTGATTAGAGACATTTGTAGGGTCCCTTGGAACAGCGACTTGTGATTGGACTGTGTCCAATTGCCCCGTGTCCAATTGATATACACCCGTTTAGAAATCATTGTTAGAAAAAAATGTTTCATGAAATTATAAACTATACAACAAAAATTATGATACATTTTTTAGATATTTTGCAACAATAACAATTCAATAGCAAGTCTTTGCATTTTCTTTTCGAGTTGGGCAGTCAACTGTTAGACAGTTAATGAAAGAAGTGTGTCTAGTTATTGTTAATACATTACAGCCTCTATATTTAGCATGTCCAACTGAAGAACAGTGGAAAAATATTGCTGATGGATCATTATACGAGTATATAATGGAAACGCAGCATCTGCGATAAAAAATTCAGACATAGAGATATTACTTCCGTGAGGATAAGCGCGTGAAGTGGGCAAATTAAATCCATTATGTTTTAAATATTTTCCAATAGTTGAAGATTCAAAAATGCCTCCGTCACTATTCCATAGGCTCCTATATCAACTAAACTAAATCTATATAAATGATCAGATATTGCCATAAGAATAATACTGAATTGTTTCTTATAATTAAAATACAATCTTCCAGAATTAGGAGGACATCGCAAAACTATATGTTTCCCGTCAATAGCTCCAAAGCAGTTAGGCATATTCCATCGGTTTCAGTATCCATTAGCAATATTCTTCCACTGTTCTTCAGTTGGACATGCTAAATATAGAGGCTATAATGTATTAACTAGACACACTTCTTTCATTAACTGTCTAACAGCTGACTGCCCAACTCGAAAAGAAAATTCAATACTTCCTACTGAATTCCCTGTTGCAAAATATCTGAAAAATGTATCACAATTTTTGCTATATAGTTTATAATTTCGTGAAACATTTTTTTTTAACAATGATTTCTAAAAATAACTAAAAATTTAAGAAGTAGTTATATCAAACAATTTTTTACTAATAAACTATATTTATCTTAATGTTATTATTAACCTGTGTTTCGGAGATAGAGCTTTCTTAGTTTTTTTTATCAAATAAAATCTTAGCATGGTTGATAACTTGTTAAAATGTTGAACATTCATCCTGGCATATTTGACAAACATGTCTTCATCAGTTTTTAAGTCTTGAAACAGATTTTCATATTCTCCTTGCTATTTCTTCTGTTGATTAATTGGTCTCACGAGCCATTTTATATTTTGCCATCTTTTGTGTATTTTTTTCCGTTTTAGTCTCATATAATAAATTAAAAGTAATGATAACAATAAATATTTTAACATTTTATTAGTCATAAACTTTGATGTTTTCATATTTGTTGACTTGAGAACCTCAAATTTTATTCCAATATTTATATATCAAACATATTCTATACATAGTGTTGGGAAAATGTTATAAACAATGTTTATAATTTTGTACAGATACATTTAACAGTTTAATAAAATTAATATGTGCTTAATATAGACATTTCTAATTATGGCTGTAAAGATAAATTATTATTATTTCTTTACTTATTGTTTAATAATCTGATTTAATTACCTTTGTCACAGAACCTCTATGTTCCTTCGTAACATAACGTAACGTAAAATTTTCGTGCGTTGCCGTACGTTTAGCTTACGTCTCACATAACATAAGGTTGTCACGTAAGGTGGCATAAAGAGCTATGGCAATGTTCGTGCGCTGGCCCTTAGCCGAAACCTTCTTGACATAAGTGTGTATATGGCTTATACGTGTTTGACGTTTTGACATAAGTGTGTTGGTCGGACATATGTGTGCACGTCGCGTATGTGAAGTAATAAATATTTTATAAATGTATATATGTATGTTAAATACATTGTAACGTGTAACTAAAATCAAAATAAATAAAACTGTCACAATAACAAGATGAAAACAGTAATAAGAAGAAAACTTATATTATAAAAATAAAAAATATGTTGATAAATAATCCTTATAAAAAATTAATATTGGTGCTGTAATAAATTGGCGAGTGACCAATTACTATTGCTTTGTCATTTTATTACTTTTGCACAAGTAAAGGTACTGCAACAATATTTAATCAAACAATAATTAATCACTGGCCAATATGTTACAGGCAGAGAGAATATATATTTATTATAAGTATTGTTATTTAAATAAATAATATTAAATTCTAAATTTTGGGGTGTATATCAGTTGGACACGGGGTAATTGGACACAGTCTAATCACAAGTCGCTGTTCTAAGGGACCCTACAAATGTCTCTAATCACACGGTGCTGTGATTGGCTGTGTCCAAATGCACCGTGTCCAAGTGCACCGCTCCCTAAATTTTGTGATATGCCTAGGTAAATGTAATTCATTGTTGTCCCTTATAGAAATATCATACTAAGAATCATTGATAATTACTTATTATCCAGTATTTTTAATACTGAAAATAAGTAATTATCAATGATTCTTAGTATGATATTTCTATAAAGGGTGGCTTCATGTTTCGAATTGGAATCAATCTTTCATGGTCAACTGGAGAATGAAACCTGTAGGAGACGATGGAAACATGAAAAGAAGGATAGAATGAAGTCAAATGAAGATTAGATAAAGGTCAGATAAGTAGCTAATATTCTATACCTATATAGACGTATATTATTAATACATAAATAATATATATCTATATAGATTCAAAATATTAACTACTAATCTGATATTTGCTTATTCTTCATTTTATTTCATTCTATCCTTCTTTTCATGCTTCCATTGTCTTCTACAGGTTTCATTCTCCAGTGAGAGATTGATTCCAACTTGAAGCACACAATGAAGCCACAACAGTGAATTACATTTATCTAGGTTATAGGTATCTAGGCATATCACAAAATTTAGAATTTAATATCATTTATTTAAATAACAATCCTTATAAAAAATATATATTCTCTCTGCCTGTAACATATTGGCCAATGATTAATTATTGTTTAATTAAATATTGTTGCACTACTTTTACTTGTGCAAAATAAAATGACAAAGCAATTGGTCACTCGCCAGTTTATTACAGCACCACTATTAATTTCTTATAAGGATTATTTATCAACATATATTTTTTATTTTTATGATATAAATTTTCTTTTTATTACTGTTTTCACCTTGTTATTGTGACAATTTTATTTATTTTGATTTTAGTCACAATGTATTTAACACACATATGTACATTTATAAAATATTTATTACTTCACATACGCGACGTGCACACATATGTCCGACGGGAGCGTTCCGATTGGGGTGTATATCAGTTGGACACGGGGCAATTGGACACAGTCCAATCACAAGTCGCTGTTCCAAGGGACTCTACAAATGTCTCTAATCACACGGTGCTGTGATTGGCTGTGTCCAAATGCACCGTGTCCAAGTGCACCGCTCCCTTCCGATTGACCACAATACGATTGTTGTTGTTGTTGTTTTCTATGGTTCTCGGAACAAAGTCCATTAATCAATATTATAATTAATAGTATAAATCCGTAAAAATCACTCAAATTTAATCAAATTCTTCTTCCAGAACGTTTAATAAAAAGAATTATCTCTTTGAAGGCGTCCACGTTATCACTAAAGGCAACGTGGACAATTTCCGTTGATCCGGCAACACCGGCGCGGAGCCAATACGCAGCAAGTCCGATTCCCGACTGTTGCACGGGCAATACAAAAATACATGATTTAAAGTCTCCACTTCACCGCATTCACAGCATGGATTATCAATGATTCCTTTTTCGAATAAATGTTCAGCAGTATTAGTATGGAAGGATCTTATGCGTCCAATAGTTGTTAAGATACTTCTGTCCAGATGAATAAATTCTTTAAACCAAGGAGACAGGTTTTTTATACGTATTCTGTGAAAATAGCGAAATCCACGCTGTGTAGACGATTCAGAGAAAAATTCCTCAGCCTGTTGGTACATACGGTCACGAAGAGTTCTCTTAATAGTATTTGCAAAAATAATATTCTTATGCGGACCGGATAACAGTCTTCCACAGGCAGCATCCTTGGCCATCACGTCGGCGGATTCATTACCCGCGATTCCAACATGTCCTGGTATCCACACAAAACATATATTAATAATAGTATATCCTTTAGAGGTCAGCTCCATAAATTGTTCCTTGATCATGTAAATCAGATTGTGTTGCTTGTTTTTGAAATTATTATTAGCCAGAGTATTAATAACACTTTTGGAGTCCGATGCAACAATAAAATTTTTTTTCATAGTATTAGACTCCGATATAGCCGAGAGTGCATGGGCGATAGCTATAGCTTCAGCTTCAAAAATAGAAAGTTGGGAGGATAGTTTATAACGTAAGGAAATAGGAGGAGATGAGGAAAAAACGGCACATCCCACTCCAAACTCCGACTTAGAGCCATCAGTGTAAACAATCTTGAAATTTGATAAATTACAATCCACGATACACTTGCGAAAAAATTCCTCCGTCCGCTGCAAAGAACCGACAGACGATCCGCTATCCTCCTCATTCGAAGGGAGTCTAACAAACTTAAAACACCTGTCTCCAATCTCCGTGATAATTGGTAAGCGAGCACAAATTGCCCGAAAGTCATAATTGACTGCACTGGGCAGAGACGTGACACACAGTTCGTGGAGAAATTCAACAAATATATGGCAAAGAAAAAGGCAAAAAAGGGAATACTGACGCAGGAAGTCAATTCCAAATTTCTATTATGTAATGACAAGACTAACATTCTGACAGAATGATTTCTAACGGAAAAGCACCCAGAAATGTATTTATGAAAATTAAAACCTCTACGAACGTCGAGAGGAGCCTCTCCGGCCAAGTGTAACAACACATTCGTAGGAGTGGTGGACATTGCACCCAATACCACTCTTAAAGCTTCGAATTGAATCCTATCGAGAATAATACTGACTCTAGAAATTATACTGGCAAATGCCTGAGAACCATATTCAAGGGCGGAACGTATCCAGTGCCCCACTTAAGACCTGCTATAGATTTGATAACAGAAATCTTGGTACGGATTCTTTTACGGAGTTCTAAACAATGAATCCTCCAGCTTAAACCTCTATCAAAAAATTTGACCGAATCGACTTTAGAGATGATTTCACTATCCAGCTTAATCTTAAGATGCCATTTATTTATAAAGTTATCCGTTTTTTTAAACCTATCCTTAGAGAATAAACAAAAAACTAACTTAACACATGATATTTCCAATCCAAGCGCTGAAATATTATCCCTGAATATTCTCAAAGCTTTATTGATCAAACTATAAACCACGGCGACCGATTGGCTGGTGGTATATAAACAGATGTCATCAGCATAGGCGAGATAATGTACGTCTTCAGGAAGAAAGCTAAAGATGAACGAGATATATATATTGAAGAGGATAGGGCTGAGAACCGAACCCTGAGGAAGTCCTCGAGAAGTTCATTTAGTACCCAAGGAAGTGCCGTCCATAAAGCCCTCGATAGATCTGAAACTGAGCAGAAAATCTAACAATTTTAGGAATTTATTAGGTAAATGCAGTTGTCTCAAGATGCACAAAAGAAGACGTGGGAGAACGTTGTCAAAAGCGCCCCGCAGATCAATAAATACCACACCAGTAAAAGCATTTCTAAAGAAGCCACGCTGAATATCCGCGGAAAGCAGGAAAAGACAATCCGTTGTAGATCTTGACTTACGAAAACCAAATTGTCTTTCAGCAAAAAAGCAATTATTTTCCAGCCACCAATAAAGTCTGGTGAATCAAACGCTCAAAGATCTTTAGAAGGCTATTAGACATGGAAATAGGTCTCATCGCGGAGGAGTTGGCCTTGAGAATAAATACCATAAAATATTCGGACCAAGCAGACGGATAGGAACCAAGATTAAACATTTTATTGAATAAACCAAAAATAAATTTTTTTGTAGATAAAGGAAGTCTGAGTAAAATGTGATTAGGCACAAGATCCGGACCATGAGCAGAACGTTTTTTAATTCGATTAAAAGCACAACAAAATTCATCCCAACTAAATGGTCTAATAATATAATTATTATACTCGCAAACAGAACTACAAAAGGAGCTTCAATCTAACGAAGGGCGAGAGGATAGCAAAGAGCGTTTAACATAATCATTCTGAAGACTAAGGTCCAAAGGATGGGAGCGGTGCACTTGGACACGGTGCATTTGGACACAGCCAATCACAGCACCGTGTGATTAGAGACATTTGTAGGGTCCCTTGGAACAGCGACTTGTGATTGGACTATGTCCAATTGCCCCGTGTCCAACTGATATACACCCCCAAAGGATCGATCCATACGCTAGGGACAACAATATCAAAAGCATCTCGAGCCGCAGAGATTCTATTTTCTGCATTCATAGGTGGCTGAGGAAGTCTCCTATTTTTAAAGGATTTCAGTATACGCCAAACGAAAGCAGAGCTAGCCTTGGGGTCAATTGTAGAACAAAATTCTTTAAACAAGTCAAGTTTTATATTTAATAGTTTTTTCTTAACATTCGCGGCAATAATACGATAATTCGAAAGATTAGTCAAGGAAGGATTACATAGGAAAGCTTTATAAGCCTTTTTTCTCTCTAAGATCAAGGAAGTACACTCTTCGGACCACCAGACGGAGGGAGGAGTAAAACGACTCTTTCCCCTGTTGTTACGCAGAATAGCACCGTAGGTTATAAGCGTATTGATAAACCAAATATAAAAATCATCATAGCAAATAGCAGGGTCCTTATTATAGATGGTAAAAGAAGAGGAGTTACACTCAAGTTCAGACAGAAAATCGGACCAAGAAATCTTTTCAAAATTAAAGGCCGGTCTACATACAGTAAGACGGTCAGACGATCCAAATAAAGTAATCAGTGAGGGAAAGTGATCACTATTGTAAGGATAATCCATCACGTATGATACAGTGGATAGTGCAATGGAATCAGAAGCAAATGTAAAATCAATAACACTTCTATGGGACCCATCAGACGAGGTCCATGTGGGACTTCCATTGCCCAAATTTACAAATTAAGATTGGGAAACCGCGGATTTCAATCTACGACCTTCTTCATTGTATTTCACTGGGAAGGAAGACTAAGAGAGAACATGGGCATTACAATCACCACATAAGATAACATTATCAAAACTAGTTAGGCAGTCAAAAAATTTTTCCCAAAAAGATGGATCAGAATCACAAGAAGATCGACCCGGAGGGTTATAGATAGATATCAAAACAATGATTTTGTTACTACAATGAATTTTAATACCCAAAACATCAACCTTGTTATCGTCACAAATAGATATCGTCAAAAAAGGAAGGTCCTGTATAGAGAAGGAAATGTTATTTTTAACAAGAAAACCAGCACCACCCCCGGAGGATAGAAGTCTCGGGGAGTTCAAAAAAGTATAACCACGAATAAGACAAGAATGAGTGCTGCCAGCATTCTTAGAGATGCAAGTTTCGGAAAGACAAAAGACATCCGGATGATGATCATTGATCAATTCAATCAAGTTCGCAGATCTAGCCAAAAAAGATCTAACATTCCACTGAACTATGGTTAATTTTTGAGAGTCATGCGAAGATGAAGCGATATATGTATTACTTGTAGAAGTCATTTTATTATAGGTCTTCGAAAGACAGAGAAGAACAGATTTTCGATAAGTCCATAATCAAGGACGCAAACTCAGAAATGTGAGATTTTCCTAAAGAGACGGTAGAATTAGGTAGATTAGAGTCAGTGGAAGAGTAGTTTAGCGAAAGAAATTCAAGTAGAGATTTAGACATAGTTCCATCGGAAGCATTAAGTTTAGAGAAAAGTTTTTGATTAAAAGATTCGACCGAACGTACCATATCCGATCGGAAACGGGGCCGCACCTCATCACCCCCAGAGCCCGCGGCGATCTCAACCGCGGGAAGGCCACAATCGACTCCAACAGAGGCGCCGACGCAGGACGCGGACGACGACCCCACGGAAGCGACACAGCCATCAGCCCGGGAGGACCGCCGGCCACCACCCCGCCAGGCCACAACAGTCGAAGCACTCCCGGCAGCGGAAAGCAGCCTTCTTTCAGCTCTCTTTCTTCTCACAACGTGTAGGAAAGAAAGGAACCCAGGACCTCGAGACTGTAAGACAGGAGAAACAGATGTTGGAACATTCCCATCTATTTTATTACCAGGGCCTACCGGAGGTAAAGCCGTTTTATTTTTTTTTGAAGACTTAAGAGCCTCCGCATAAGATACAGCGGATGGTTTATTAATAATCTTTGGCCAGAAATCATCCAAGGTGATCGAGGAAGATCCCTCTGAATGGTTATCCTCAGTGAGACCACTGACCTTGATGAAATTTTCAGCATCAAGAGGGCCCAGGCAATGAACCGCCATGACTCTTTTAACATGTTTATTATGTATATAAACCGGACAATTGACACTGGAAACATGATGGTCAGAATTAGCCAGTTTGTTACGTTCGTAATTGATACATAATACGACATCCGACAAGCAATTCTGGTCAGAGTGTCCCTCACCTGCACACCTGCCACATATCATAGGCATTCCTATCTTTTTACATGAAAATCTCAAATGACCAAATCTATGACAATGAGTGCATCTAATGACTCTACCAGCAAACGGTTTCAAGAAGATTTTTTTTCCTAAGAGGAATACAAAAGAGGGAAAACAAAAATTTTCGAAAATACCTATAAATGTGTTGGTATTAATCATTTTATATCCACCTAAAGCGTCAGGATCGGGAGTCCTCTTGCGGAGCCTCTCCACCGAAATAGGCGATCGCCACTCGCCCCTCCAATTATATGTGGGGCGTAGGTGTTGTTTTATAAATTCAGCATCCAATTCAGAGTCGTCAATCCCTGCAAGGATAACTTTTTTTTTACTCTGAAATCAGGAATAAACGTGAGCCAAGTTTCGTCTTTAAATACCGAATGTTCAAATCTCACAATTTCCTGAAAGAAGGCATTTGCGAGATCACAGGTAAGAAATGATATAATAAATTTATTGGAACTAGCCCTCTTAAAGTCAAAAGCTACAGACATAAAAGATCCGATGGATTTGATATCGAATAGAGCCTTAGCCAATTTTAGAACACTAATAGGACGTGTGTCCACAGTGTTATCAACCTGTCTTTCTATAAACACGATGAAAGGACCGTTACTATTTTTCGAGTAGCGATTCTTCACAGCAGACGGAGGAGAAATCCGCGATCCAGGATCAACAGGAGATGCAACCACCGGAGGCGGAGTCCGCATGGAAGATGCACCGACAGCATGAGTAGGGATGGGAATGGAGGAATGAAATACGGAAGAGGAAGAGGCTGATAGACCTTTACTACTGTCACTCAACCCTGATTTTCCGACTTTTTTTCCAGTCAGATTTTTTTTCTCCTTTGACTTAAACAGAAGGTCTGATTAAATACGAGGGCCTGGAGAGACCTTTTTGATAGCGCCATAAATGCTAACATCAGGTGAGCTCAATCTTTTCTTGAGCTTTTCGGTGGTCATCATAAGAGGTGAATTACACTTGATATTAGAAACTGGAGATTTCAGCATACCAGACGCAGCAGAAGTAGTCCGTACCATACTTTTCTTTTTCTCAGACGATTCTTTTGACGAGATCAAAGGCTGAGCATCCATGTCCTTGTCTTCAGAAGGTTGAAGCTCGAAGATGTTGTGTGTATTATCATCCACATCCTTGTTTATTTCCTTGTCTCCATGCTGGGTTAAGCAATCACGTGTCTCCATCGTGAGGATTATAGGTTAAACGATACTAGATCAACAAAGAATCACGTGATATGCACGTGTTCAACGTATAGCAAGCGAGTGACAAAAACACACTAAAGCAATTAAGCAGACAAGCACTAATATAATTAAATAAATCAAGTAGATTAAATCAGAGTCCAGAAAACAAAGCCAGGTCGAAGCCAGTAAAACTAACACATTTGCAAAAGCGCAAAAGATACGAAATTACAAGCTGCTAAGTGAGAGGCTAAGAAACACGAAGCACACCATATGGCGTCCGAAAGCCAACTCCACAATACGATTGGACACAACCAACCGATGAAAAGAATTATCTAGTAAATTACTAGGTCGAACCAATCATTACAATCTGTGTCCAATCATATCGTGGTCAATCGGATCCCACCCGATGTCCGACGAACAGGCTTATGTCAAAACGTCAAACGTCAACACGTATAAGCCACACACACACTTACCTCAAGGTTTCGGCTAACCAAAATATATCACTATTTATTCAGTGTTAAGGCCTTTGCACATAGAAAAATTTTAACCGTAACCGTAAGGTCGTAAGAAAACTGATCAAGCACAGTCGTTTATTCCTCGAACGCAAGGAGAATAATCAACTCTGGTCAGTTTTCTTACGACCTTACGATTACGGTTAAAATTTTTCTACGTGCAAAGGCCCTTACTAAAGCCCGTATCAGACTATTAGAATTGAGATTGAATTGAAATTTAGCCAATCAGAGCAAAATTTACTAAGCTTAAGTTTGGTGAACTTTGCTCTGATTGGCCAATTTTCAATTCAATCTCAATCTTAATCCATAATCTGATACGAGCTTAATAGCATGTTCTGGCTCTGGATTAACCCACTCTGGGTTTCAGCCTACGTTTATTGGTGAAACAAGTACTTATAAGCTTTATGATTGGTTAGTAGAGACTTATGACGTCATTAATCGTTCTCGGAGCGATTAACCCAGGGCCAGTTGAATACGCTATAATTCATAGAAATTTAATTTGAGTTACCTAGCTGGTACCAACGCTATCCCCTCCCTTTTTATGGATTTTGTTGTGTAACCGTAAGACGTACCCTAAAGGCCATCACACACAAAATTACATAGACGCATATGCATAGCATAGTATGGACCAATGAGCATCGAATATTAAGTATCAATCATCAATATGGCGACTTAACATTCAATGCTCGTTGGTCCATATGATCTTATGCTATGTATATGCGTCTATGTAATTTTGTGTGTGATGGCCCTAAGAATTGACCAATCATGTTGAGAATTGTCTAATCGTAAGGTCGCCATTTTGATGAATACTTGATCGTAATTGGTCAATTCTTACGGTACGTCTTACGTTACGGCTATGAAAATTTGTGTGTGGAGGCCTTAAGGGCTATCTACAATAGAGCGTATAATATGTATATCGTAGTAAGAAATTGACCAATCACAATCGATTATTCTTGTAAAACTCCAGTATGATTGATCAGTTTCTTACTGCTATGGCGTACGATTTTCCATTGTAGATGGCCCTTTAAGAGGCGCCGCACAGTGGGACAGAATCCCGAAAACGTGGCTAAAATATGAAGTCGTTGTCCGATTTTTGTAAAAATTGGTATATAAATGTTTTCGACGTCGCTGATTACGAATCTGAAGTGCAAATTTCAAAAAACAAAATGGCGTATCCAATATGGCCGAAGTAAATGAAAAAAAATGTGTTACTT